GCCATCATATAAACTAAGCTTGTTATTCCTGAATCTGATGAATATCTTCATTATGCTGAATGCTGATCTACTGTCCACCCTCGGCCTATATATATTGACTGGTAAACTCAACTTCATTTTATCTGAGGAAGTGGGGCTTGCACACGAAAAGCTCATATGCTGAATAAAAAAAATTGTTGGTCTTAAAGGGGCCACTGGACTTGAACGTTGTTTTGCTGCTCCAGACCAACGTGGCTGCCCACCTGAGTCAGGCAGAGTAGACAGTGCCGGCCTTGATAAGGCAGCTCCATGTGTGTTCACGTGACTCTCCGCTGGTTCTAATTCTGGCTTGTTTGGTTCAGACTCATGGCCTAAGTAGCTTTTGTTTATCTGCTAACCCGCCTCAGCTCCTTTGCCAGAGGCACAGGATAGAAATAGTCCGCATAAATATTAAATAAATTGGTCCCAGAGCTAGTCGAGCTGAGTGGGCCCTACAGGGTGGGAAGCAATAGAGGAGGCAACCACGGCTGCAATTTAGCCAGGTCTGAGCTGAGCCATCCCTAGGGTTGCCAGGTCCTTGCTGTGTTCCGGCGGGGAGGGGCTTCTTTCTAGAGCCTTCAGCATGCCCGCAAAGCACGCATGCCGTGATGATGTCACCCAGAGGTGACATCATCGTGCAGGGCATGTTGTGGGGGGATGCTCTAGCATTTGAGAAAAAACTCTATTGTAATCATAGAGGGTTTTTTTCCTCAAATGCTAGAGTGTTCCCCTGTCATGTGCCCTGCACAATGATGTCACCCTCAGGTGATGTCATCACGCTGGGCACACCGGTGCAGATGGGGCTGCTCGGCGGTGGGGCTCCCCCCCCCCAGCCGGCTGAGCAGTGGCGGATGGGGGGGGCAAAAGGGGGGAAACCCCTGCCCCCTTCAGGAGGATGACAACCCTAGAGCCACTGCTAGGGCACAGCAAAATGTTCTTGGGATTCTGCTCAGCCTCTCCCTGACCACCAGCAACACCCCAGGGCTAGGGTTCCCAACCTCCAGGTGGGGCATGGAGATCTCCCAGAATCACAGTTGATCTCCACACTACAGAGATCACTTCCCCTGGGGGAAATGGCTACTTTGTAGGGTGGACTGTCTAGCATTATATACTGCTGAGGTCCCTCTTGTTCTCAAACCCAGCCTTTCCCAAATCTCCAAGAACTTCCCAACCCAAAGGTGACAACCCTATCCAGGGTAGGGTTGCCAGCTCTGGTTTGGGAGATTCCTGGAGATTTGGGGGGCAGAGACTGAAGAGGGCATGGTTTGGGGAGGGGAAAGGCCTCAGCAGGGTATCAATAACAAACAGCCATAATGGCTGTTCGAATCCCCACCGCGGCCGGAGTGAGCTCCCGGCCCTCAGTCCTAGCTCCCGCCAACCCAGCGGCTCGAAAAATAACATTAAGTAGAGAAATGGGTACCTGCCTTAGAGGCAGGGGGCACCCTCCTCCTGGTTCCGTGCCAGGAGGGCTAACGGCGGCGGCGGCAACGGGAGAGGCGAGAGAGAGGCGGCAGTGAGAAAGGCGGCAAGGAAGAACAATGGCGGTCCGACAAACCATGGAGGCAACATCGGATGGAGGTGGGGCCGGACGACGCAGCTGCAACGCGACGCGGCTGGAGCCTGATGGACGAATAGCCAAAGCTGCAGTCCAACAAGACGAGTGCGCCGACGAAAGGATCCATCAAGAAGCCCGCCGATGATCGCCAAACTACCCGGAGCGCTGAGACTATGCCTGGAGCCGCCGAGAGTGAGGAAGAAGAGAGAAA